CTACTACTACTACTACTACTACTACTACTACTATTATTACTGCTGCTACTACTACTTCTACTACAGCTACGACTACTACTACTACTACTACGACTACTACTACTACTACTACTACTACTACTACTACTACTACTACTACTACTACTACTACTACTACTACTACTACTACTACTACTACTACTACTACTACTACTACTACTTCTACTACTACTACTACTACTACTACTACTACTACTACTACTACTACTACTACTACTACTACTACTACTACTACTACTACTACTACTACTACTACTACTACTACTACTACTACTACTACTACTACTACTACTACTACTACTACTACTACTACTACTACTACTACTACTACTACTACTACTACTACTACTACTACTACTACTACTACTACTACTACTACTGATACTGCTCCTGCTGTTCCGCCCAACCTATTCTCTAGATTCTCCTACTCATGCTTGCGTTCTCAATGCATCTCCTTTTTTTCCCCAGGGTGGAGGCCCGTCCAACCTGGTGTACAGTGTACGCTAGGCCGCTCATGTCAAACATCCTCCTCCTCCTCCTCTTCCTCCTCTTCCCCCTCCTCCTCCTCCTCCTCCTCCTCCTCACCCTCCTCGTCCTCCTCGTCCTCCTCCTCCTCCCCATAATCATTAACAGCATCAGCATCAGCATCAGCATCAGCATCATCATCAGCATCATAATCAGCATCATCATCCTCATCATCGGCATCAGCAGCAGAATCATCATCGTCATCAGTATCCTCCTCCTCCTCCTCCTCCTCCTCATCATCATCATCCTCATCCTCATCCTCATCCTCTTCAGCATCATCAGCATCAGCATCAGCATCAGCATCATCACCATCACCATCACCATCACCATCATCATCAGCATCATCAGCAGCAGCATCATCATCCCCCTCCCCCTCCTCCTCCTCCTCTTCCTCCTCCTCCTCGCCCTCTCCTCTTCCTCCTCCTTCTCCTCCTCGCCCCTCTCCTCTTCCTCCTCCTCCTCCTCTTTCTCCTCCTCCTCGCCCCTCCCCTCCTCCTCCTTCTCCTCCTCCCCCTCGCCCCTCTCCTCTTCCTCCTCCTCGTCCTCCTCCTCCTCGCCCCTCTCCATTCCTTTTCCTTACAAATTCGCGTCTCCCTGTCGCATCCCGAGGCATGTTTTTAGGACGGGCCGGGCGTTTCGCCTGAGACTTCCTCATCATTTATGATCCTGCAGCATGAATGTGGCAGCAGTTTCACAGATTGAGGACGGGTGGTTCTCAAAATGTGGCTATCGCCTAAGCGCCGAGCATATTCGTTTTAGAACTTTGCAAGAGTTTGACGGATTCAGGGCGGGTCGTTTTCAAAATGTGGCTCTCGTCTTAGCACCGCGCTCATTCATTTCTAAACTTTGCGAGAGGTTCACGGATTCAGGGCGGTTCCTCTTCAAAATGTGGCTCTCGCCTTAGCGCCGCGCTCAGTCGTTTTTCCCTGCCTAGGCTCTGCCTAGAAGGGTTCTTACTCTCTTAGCTTAAAGGGGCCGGGCAGTGCACAGCGCCCCGGGCGGTTCCCCCAGTCCCCGCCCCGCGGTTCCCCCAGTTGCGCCCCCTGGGTTCACCCAGCTTAGCTTAGCTTCAGCTTAGCTTTAGCTTAGCTTGAGCTTAGCTTTAGCTTAGTTTTAGCTTAGCTTTAGCTTAGCTTCAGCTTAGCTTCAGCTTAGCTTTAAGTTCGCTTTAGCTTAGCTTCAGCTTAGCATCAGCTTAGCTCTAGCTTAGCTTTGCTTAGCTCTAGCTTAGCTTCAGCTTAGCTTCAGCTTAGCTCTAGCTTAGCTTTAGCTTAGCTCTAGCTTAGCTTCAGCTTAGCGTTAGCTTAGCTTTAGCTTAGCTCTAGCGTAGCGTTAGCTTAGCTTCAGCTTAGCTCTAGCTTAGCTTTAGCTTAGCTCTAGCTTAGCTTTAGCTTAGCTTTAGCTTAGTTTTAGCTTAGCTTCAGCTTAGCTTCAGCTTAGCTTTAGCTTAGCTCTAGCTTAGCGTCAGCTTAGCTTCAGCTTAGCTTTAGCTTAGCTCTAGCTTAGCTTCAGCTTAGCTTTAGCTTGGTTTCAGCTAAGCTTCAGCTGAGCTTTAGCTTAACTTCAGCTTAGCTCTAGCTTAGCTTTAGCTTAGCTCTAGCTTAGCGTTAGCTTATTGTTAGCTTAGCTCTAGCTTTAGCTTAGCTTTAGCTTAGCTTTAGCTTAGCTTTAGCTTAGTTTTAGCTTAGTCTTAGCTTAGCTTTAGCTTAGCTTTAGCTTAGCTTTAGCTTAGCTTAGCTTTTTCTTACCTGCACTGTTACTACTAATGCTGCTTTCCTAGGGGCTCCAACTCCTAGGTAGGGTCGCACTGGGATAATTTTCCCAAATTTGCAAGAGTTTCGCGGATTGAGGGCGGTTCCTTTTCAAAATGTGGCTCTCGCCCTAGCGCCGCTCTCATTCGTTTTCAAGTTTGCAAAAGCTTCACGGATTCCCATGATCAACGTACCAGATGGTGTTTTGGAGAGAGTCAGGATGACTCGCGGTGTTGAACTCCCAAGAATGGCGTTCTGGCACGATGCCGTATCGTCAAGACGCAACAGTCAGCTTGATCCATGGCGTTGGAACCCCGAGAACAATATTCTCACATGCTTCAGGGTCTTCAAACGGTGTCTTCCAACGAGGAAATTCCTCCAGTGGAAATTAACAGTTGTAGGGGCCTATGGAAAGGGAGCTTGGAGAGGGAGGGTGTATTCCAACATCGTTGATGACTCTTGGGTTTACCCTGGTCCTCCTCCTCCTTCTCCTCCTCCTCCTCTTCTTCTTCTTCTTCCTCCTCCTCCTCCGCCTCCTCCTCCTCCTCGTCCTCCACCTCCTCCTCCTCCTCCTCCTCCACCTCCTCCTCCTCCTCTCCTCCTCCTCCTCCTCCTCCTCCTCCTCCTCCTCCTCCTCCTCCTCCTCCTCCTCCTCCTCCTCCTCCTCCTCCTCCTCCTCCTCCTCCCCCTCGTAATTACCTTCTCCTCCCCCTCGTCGCCGCGGGCGGCGGCGATCACCTGGACCCGGTGCGGCCACGCCGGCCTGGGGGGCGACAGCGGCCGAGCAGCGGCGGGCAGGCGGGGCAGATAGGGGACGGGGAGGGCGGATGGGGGGAAACGATGGGTTCGTCCTGGCCCGCAGGATGCTAGCTCCTGCTGGGCCAGAGCGTACAGTCGGGGCGTTGACCCAAGGAACCCCAAATCAGGAGCGAGGCCCCTATGTTCCATAAGTTAAACTTCGATTTCATATAGAAAACCTGAGGAACATCTGAGGCAAGCTGCGAAACACTTAAGGAACGCAAAGCCCCTCCCCAACGAAAAGGGTTCCTTCTTCAGGGCCCCGACTGTATTTCACTGGTGGGAGGCGCCGCTTGAATAACAGGAGTGAAAAAATCCCCCCATGGCGCGGTCAAAAAGGGGACCCCGACTGAACAAAAACTGAAGGGCGTGGCGATGAGGGCATGGAACGCCCCCTCTGCGCGCCCGTGCTGCAGGTAGGCACCGGCTTTTAGCGCACTTCGGCATGCGCACCTCGATGCCCTGGGTATGAGGCGTCGCGTTGGGGGATCCCCAACGGTGGCCCAGTGCCAGGGCTGCGGAACAAGTTGCCAGGTGTTCCCGCAGCGCACGGGAAGAAAGGAGGAGGCTAGGGCTGGTGCGCTAGAGGTGAACAGCAAGTCGCGCCTGAAGATTTTCCTGGAGGGTGGCCCATTGAAAGCAGCCGTGCGGAAGGCCTGTTGGAATTATTCGTTCAAGGCGGACTGTGCTCTTTGGAACCTGCCAGCGAAAGGGTCTCGACTGTTGCTACGCAGCCAGCGTGCGAGGCTGAAGGCGCGCTGTCGCAGCGCCGTGATGCCTGTTGTCACCGCAGCTTCCCCATCCTGGGCTGGCTGTTGTCTGGCCGCGGTGAGGCGTTGCGCGAGGGCACGTCTCCGATCGGTGGGCTGCGCTGGTGGCTTTTTTTTGTCACCTACACCCTTGTGGGTGGCGGTAGGGCCCTTGGTCCCCGTTTCCTGGTAGGGCGGGGGATTTGCTTGGTGGCAGGATGAACTGCGATGGGGGGTGGGGGGTGCGTCAGCACTGGCCAGCCCAACGGATTGAGGCGACGCAGCTGGCCCACAGGGCGCGATCCGCGACCCATCACCTACCATATGCAGGTCCTCTCCCAGGTGGTTGGCGTTGTAGACACGGCTGGTTTCGGGGAGGGCGGCAGGGTCCGTACTGCCTCCCGTGTGGTCCGGCCCCAGTGTGCCCTGCGCAGTTCGTCGCGTGGCGCCCGAGATGCGGCCCTGGTGGACGCTCGCCTCCCGAGCTGCCGCAGCCTGGCGCCTTCTCGGGCGAGGAGCTGCACGTTCCCGTCGCTCGCGTCGTGGCCGCCGCTGTCGTGGCCTCCTCGTGAGGGCGGGGCGGCGCCATCGTCGTTGGCCATCGGTTCACGGGCGAAGAACGGTATAACATTTTCCGCCGTCGGGGACACCTGCCCCAGGGCGGCTGGAAAGTTTATACCCTTACGGTGGCACCGTAGGGGTATAAACTTTCCAGCCGCCCAGGGGCAGGTGTCCCCGACGGCGGAAAATTTATTTTATACCTGTTCTTCGCTCGCTGAATCGGGGCGCCCCCATCCGAGGGACCCGTGGGGGTCTGCTTCGCCTCCTTCGGGGCTGCGGGCGCGGGGGCTCCTTCGCCGCACCGCCGAGGCCCCCCTGGAGCGCGGGGCCCCCCCGGGGCGGGCCCCGAGGGCTGCCGGCGGGTCGCCGGGCGGGCCCTCGCGGCCGGCCCCAGGGCAGGTGTGGCGTTACGTCGGGCGCGTCCCCCTACAGGGGGAGATTTTTGGACGGAAAAAATTATCGAAACATCTTCCCAAATGGTCAAAAATGCTAAAAAAAAATCGTCCCCCGACTATTTTGTGGACTATTTTTGAGAATATTCCCCCTAAGGGAGATTTTTTGACGAAAGAAATACTCGAAACATCTTCCCAAATGGTCAAAAATGCTTGAAAAAATTGTACCCCAACTATTTTTGGACTATTTTTGAGAAGATTCCCCCTAAGGGAAATTGTTTGACGAAAAAAACCTCGAAACATCTTCCCAAATGGTCAAAAATGCTAAAAGAAAAAACGTCTCCCGACTATTTTGTGGACTATTTTTGAGAATATTCCCCCTACAGGGAGATTTTTTGACGAAAGAAATACTCGAAACATCTTCCCAAATGGTCAAAAATGCTTATCAAAAATCGTCCCCAAACTATTTTTGGAGCATTTTTGAGAATATTCCCCCTAAGGGCAATTTTTTGACGAAATAAATACTCGAAACATCTTCCCAAATGGTCAAAACTGCTTAAATCAATAATCGTCCCCCGACTATTTTGTGGACTATTTTTGAGAATATTCCCCCAACTATTTTGTGGACGCATTGTCTTGCATTGTCTTGCACTGTCTTGCATTGTCTTGCATTGTCTTGCATTGTCTTCTCGGCATCAGTACCACAACGCTGACGGCAGGCAGCGCATCTCTACATACTAGTGTTTTTGCTCGAACTCGCTGAGCAAGCAAGGATACAGCCAAGGTAGCAGAGTCTTGGCCGAGCACCAAAACATCATCGCCAGAGCGTGTGTGTTGCCCATTCCCTGTTTACGGTAATTCCTTTTACACAGCACCATGTCCGGTGATGAAGCCTCAGCCGCTGCGACGAGTGAACTCCCAGGCGGGAGGACTGCAGGTGGGCGCAGACCGCTGCTAGCGCCAGCGTCTAGCCTGATGTCAGCACCGGCAAATGGGGCCCGTGGAGCCCGGAGCCAGTCCCGTTCTCCGCGGGGGGCTCTGGGCCCCGCTGACGTACAAGGAGCCCGCGCCGCCAGCTCCGACTTCGCAGCTGTGAAGAAGCTAGTGGAAGACGAGTTGAAGGGGTTCCTACCGAATGAGCTGATTCAGAGAATTCAGAAATCCACGAACGATTTGAACGCGAGAATCGCAAGTCTCCAGAAGGTGAACGAGAGGGCGACGAGCACCAAGAGCGATGTGGAAGCTTTGAGTGCTGGCCGGGTCCCTTCTGGGTGTCGACCCTTCACGTTGGCATACGAGTCGCCGTTCTTGGACACAGAGCGCGTCGTTGACCTGAGCTTCCGCCTTGACCTCTTCGGCAAGACGCTGCGGGAGGCGAAGCAAGAGGCCTACTGCGCGCACCTGGCCATTCAGAAGAAACTCGATGTGCTGCTCCTGGCCAAGCAGAGGGACGACCTGCGCAGGCTCACGAAGAGGGATTACTTCGTCGAGACATGCGCGGCCGCAGTGTCCGACCAGACGTCCAGAGTTTCAGGCCTGGACCTCGATCTGGACCTGGACAACGACGACGGCTTCCAGGTCTCCACTGCCGGCGTCGACGCCGAACGGTTGAAGGCCAAAGCCACCGCCATCTACGCCAAGGCGGTGGCTCGAGCTTCAGACGAGAAGGCTCGCAAGCAGCAGGAGAAGGCCAAGCAGGACCAGGCCCAGGAGAAGCTGATCCAGCAGATGATGGGGACGAGCCCTGCGGACCTCTTCAACATGGCCGTGGATGCTCGTGTGATCGCTCGCCAGCGCGTGCCTGGCCGAGCAGGTCAGGCAGGTGGCGGCACCATAGCCGCCCAGGCGGCATCCCTGTACACCTCCACCATGGCCGCTGGCCAGTCCTCTGTCGACCGCGCCGACGCCGTACGCCTTGCTGCCTTATCAAAAAACGGCACGTCCCCGCCCGGACAGGGCGGGGGCAAGGACAAAGGCAAAGGCAAAGGGCGAGGCAACCCGAAGGGCAAGTCCAAGGGCAACGGGAAAGCCACGCCCTCCCCCAAGGGCGAGTCAAAGGGCAAGTCCAAGGGCAAGGGCAAAGGCACGAGCAAGGCATCCGGCAAGACGAGCGCCGGGAAGGGCGCTGGCGCACGAGGAAGCGCGAGAGGGTCTGAACGTGGCAGATCCGCCGGAGGCAGGTGGCGAGGGAGGGGGACGTGACGGTGAGGCTGGCCCGTTTGTTCCTGCAGTTCACTCGTGATCTCCCCGCCCCTGATTTCAACTCTTTGCTTTCATGTGATGATAAACCAATTTATTTGTTTCACCCGCGTTCGAATTGTGCGACTGTTCCTTCAGGTACCGAGCTGGCCTGGCCAGTCCGGTTTTTGCTTACGATGTTTCATCGAAAGCACGTGTTTTGCATGACACCCAAATCTTCTTTGTCTCACGTTTCTCTTGCCCTTTGGAATTGGGAGCGTAAGCTTCGTTGGAGATGGTTTTTCGGATCTAACGCCGAAGATCCAACAGCTGGCGAAAGTTGGTGGCGGTTGCGATCCCAAAAAAGATATTGCAAACCGTGTGATGTTGTATTGCCTCTGTCTCTGCAGTGCATGGTTGACGCTGTCAGGCGTGAGGTCTGGCAGGCGTGCCTTGTACAGAGCCGGCGTCGCGCTCCGCCAGTGCCCGCAGTGATTAGGCTTGCTCTCTCCCTCCTCCAAAAAACGGGCGTCGGGGCGCTCCCCACAGATAAAGATGCCGGTTTTTGTTTAATCCGCAAGAGCGATTTGCATGATCGCTACATGCATCTATTGTCTGGCCGCGCCTACCGAGAGAAACTCGCTCCATACAGTTTTGGGGCGACAGTGGTAACTGATTTCATCGAGGCTGTTCGCGAAACGTGCAGGGTTTTAGATGACAGGGCGCTCGAGCGAGCCATGCTTTCGGACGTGGACGCGAGCCGGTGCGAAGACATCGTGTCGCGCGTTGGGGCCACCGTCAAGACGCACAAGCCTCCTGGCAAGGTGGAGTTGCGCCTCCTCCACTGTAGTGTTCGTAATCCGATGGCTCCAGCAATGCGGCGGATATCCCACGCGTTGTTCCCTCATCTTAGGCGTGTTCCGTTTCTGGCTCGCGACACCCAGCACCTATTACAGATCATGTCGCGCACAGTCGTGCCAGCCGATTGCCACTTAGTCAAAATAGACATAAAAGAATATGTTATGTCTGGTTTGCATGCCGATCTTGTCACACATTCCTCAGCTTTTTTCGACGGCGTCCAACAA